GCTACCGGGGGCCGACTACGGTCGGGGCGCGTGCACCACTGCTACTCGGGGCAGATTCGCGCAAGCGCACCGGCGCCCAGCCGAGTCCGGGAGGCCGCGTGGCGCGGCGTCGGGATTGCCGCCGGCGCTTCTCTCTTCGTTACCGTCGCCCGACCGACGCCGCCCTCGAGGCGCGCCTGCGCCCCGGATGCTGCTGGATGTCGAGCAGCGGCTCGCGAAAGCGCGGTTATCGAGCCTCCAACATCAATTGCCGCCCTAGCTTGTGAAGGCCGACGCGACACGTTTGCAAAGGGCTGACGGGGCTCGTCCACGAGGATCCGCGTCGTCGGTAAAATTAGGCTCACCAGCAACATCGTAACTCGGTTAAATGCGTCGCAGCGTCCCGAGTTTTTATTAAGCTATCGGTAAACTTTCGACACTCGAGGGGCTACTCTGACCAAGGGAGGAACGTCGGTTGACTTTTCGATAATTACGACTAACATTTGGATTAAATGGTTGATTTGATGGTCGAGATAATGCTGGACTATTACAATTCACTCCATTGACTCGGCGCGTTAACTGCGAAGGATAGGGAAGGAGGTGGTGCGTGAAAAATAGCGTCGCTTATCCCCAACTTTCCCACAAAATTCCCGTTTTCGCTTATTTACAAGCTCTCCCCCTCCACTTTTATCTTTGCTTAAAGGAGAGAATGAGCATAGAGCGCACTTGACTCTAAAATATGTTTCGAACATCACCGGGTAATTAAAGGATTTCATAGGCAACGATGGACCATCGGTTGAAATACTAATTGAACCTTGATCGATATATTTTTCCCCGAGATACGTGACTATTGTAATATTACGAGACTTACGATGACATGTATATTAAAGTCAATTATATTTGCATATTCAATTCCCAGAATGATTTTCTAATGGATAATGCGCTACTATTACATTCGCAATAATGCGCAATTCGAATCCATAGCGAATAGCGGTAATATAAATTACTTGTTTGTGAAGGTGCGCTTTTTAGCCTTAAAAGAGGAATAAAATATTCGCGTAGGCAGGTATTAAGCTGATAAAGAGTTTGCGACAATGGGAAACGAATGTCGGAGATGGAGAGGGATGAAAGTCGTCGTTTCGATATAACGGGCTCTTAATTCTCTCTCTCCTCTTTTGGTTTTCGGTTAGTCCAACGAGCGAATTAGTGCAACGATCAATCGAATGCGAGAAGCATTATTTCACGCGAAATCCTACGGGAATCCGACAACGAAATAAGTAGATAAAACTGAACATAAATATGAGAGACGCCGTGTAAATATACTTTCTTCGTTGACTGCGAGGGACGAAAGGATCATCAAACAGAGCCAATGAACTCGCAGATCCTCAATGGCTTTGATCAGCGTGAATAAACAGATGGAGTACAATTGACGGGTCCGAGTAGCTTAAAATATCTCCGCGTACCTTTATAATTCCCATTCGGCTCGATGAGGACTCCGGGCGATGTATCCATGAGTACGGCCAAGTGAGCCTTCGGTTAAGGAATGAGGCGTTTGCACGGCAAACTTTTTCAATCATGGCCACAGAATTTCGCTGGCACGGTCATACCTACGGCGCCCAAGACGTGCAAATAATTTAATTTCCGAAAACGGAAACCCGCGCGAATTAGTCGTTTCAACGGATCCGCAAAACCGACGGATTTGCAAAAGTTCGGAACGGCTATGTACCAGCTAGAAAAGCCGCGTCGCGTGCTTCGCAAAACATGGGATGCACCAACGATGTACCGTAATGGCAAGGCCTTTTGAAATTTACGATGTGGTTGCACAACTCTAGTGCACTATCTCACTCTCTCTCTCTCTCTCTTTACTATTTTCAGGTTCATGCTCAGCCATTTCGAGGGCTCTCGTTGGAGGATTTAAAACTCGGTGATTAGCGAAATCTCTAATCTCGTCAAAGTCAAAGGCGGAGCTACTTTTGCATTAGTTTTTTGCATTATAGCCATTGTCTTAACATTACTCTGTAATTATTACAAGTTGAATCTGTATCATTAAGAATTGACTGGAATGTTGTTTCGTCTAACGAGAGTACTGCATTTTGTGTAGAAATATTATATTGGACTATTTAAATGACATATTACATCAATATCGTGTCAAGTATAATTCATCACTATAAGCGATGCTAATGATCCATTGGACATTGATTGATAATGAAAGCACTTATCGAATATCGACAATTGATCGAATGTAGTTTGATAGATCGACTAATGAAATATACCGATTGCAATGAAAATGTCAAATCTAAGCCTGAAAGTTTCATTAAAAAAAAAAAACAAGTCGGTTAAACCATTTCATACCGCTGCTTTCATCCATTGGAAAATCTATTTTTATTAAAGTGGCATCGTTTAGCGGCAACATTCGAAAATATAATAATTCATCGAGTGCAATGCGCAAGTGCTGCATAACGAAAGAGCGCCTCGTCCTCTTACGGCTTTAGCGAGCGATCCACGAGCACGGGGAGTCGAGACAATCGCCAAAAGCACCGTCCGTGCGCCGATCCGTAAAGAAAGGGAAACACATCGCTCCGTGACTATCGATTTAACAATCAAGTTACTCGTTTCGTCTCTTTCGTAAAATACCCGAGTAGGTAACGCGAGTATCGAGGGGCGACGGGGGGCGAGCCTGCAAAAATCAAAAGCTCATTCGGCGAGGTGTCCTCTAGGGGCGAGCTTTTTCACGCGACCGATGAGAAATGAAGATGACCGAGGGCTAGACAGTTGCCGGGGTGACGGGGAGTGCGCTACGGCGACGGTAACTCGGAACACGAGACTACTAAACTCACGTAGTAGTCTGGCTACTTTGGCTGCCCGCGAAAACGATTAATTTGCTCTCCTTTACCGGACGGCGTTCCATCCTAATCGCCGACTACCTACCGACCCTCCGGGGAATGTGCATTGAAAGCTTAATGCACTCGCGATCCCGAATGCGATTGCCCGAAGCTCGCACTTGGTATTATCCGGCTATTGCACTTGGGCTGGTTGCACCGGCGTAGCTTTGTAATAATTCGAGCTTCTTGAAGTTCGGTAAGTATTTCATTGTGATTTTATTTAGTTTTGCTGATTGTAGTTGTGCTAAGCATGCGTGCTTTAATGGAAATTGAGAAAATGGAGATATGTGAGGTTCAATTTGGTGTCGTGTAGAACGATGATCGACGTTGATTGGAATCTCTAGCGATTGACAGACTAAATAAAATATAAATGAAAGTAGTTTCGCAAATGGGATAATAATACTCTTCCGAAGTATTTCCATATGAGATAGCAATGTTTAGTAATAAAATACGCGGATTAAAACCATAAGTAATGACTAAAAATTATTTTAATCTTACAAATCTAATGCAAATTTTTCTTCTTTTCCTCCCTTTTCTTGATCCTTTTTTTTTCTTCTTCTTTTTTTTCCTTTTTATACTTTTCAATAAAAATCGGTGAACCATTATTTGATTAGAATTTGTAAAAGTGTTAAAGTCTCGATAGCTTCAATTACAGTGTAAAGCTTTTCTACAATAGTACGTAGTTCTCCTGAAATTATAGCTCGTGTTTGGTAAGCAAATATGTATATAAGACTACACGGTCGTTTCGTGAAACATTTCAACAAAAATTTATTATTTAAATAACCGTTGCAGGCAAATACTACGAAAATTATTATTCGTCGTTAAAGAAAATGGCCAAAATATTTGGCATTCGTTAAATGTATAATTAAGTGTTTGGCAAATAATCTTATCTTAATTTATTGTGAATACACATTTATTTGCATTGCATTTACTAGATATTAAACTAACTAACACTGAACGACGATTTCTCGAAAAATTACTATAAAAATGATATTGCGAATTATATATACATATATATATATATATATATATATATATATATATAAGGGTATTTTTCATAAAATAATCAAAATCAATTAAATATAATCAAAAAAGTATAAAAATCTAAGTATTTGAAATTTCAAAGAAAAATTATTTTACTCATTTTTAATTTATTTTGTAATAATATTAATATTTCATGAAGATAATTACGATAATGATAAGGACAACAATGACGGTAACGAGGACGACGATGGCGACGACGATAACGTTCATAATGATAATAATGACGATGATGATACGTAATAATATTTCTATCAAATACGATAGATATAGCTTATTGCAGCAAATATGTAAAGACTAATTAATATCTTCTCGTTTTTATAAAAAATCCGTTTCTCCTCGTTGCTCACTGTTGTTATTATTAACGAAAAATTTATAAAAGAGAAGAGATACATTGTTTCTGTGAAATATATTGATTATCGACAACGAGTGATCGAGAACGTAGAGACAATTTTAAGGAAAAATAATTTCCAACTGCTTAAATAATTGATAATTATTTCCATTATTGGATAATTCTCGACTAATTAATATTTAACAATCGATAATTTATCTTAATATACCTATTAGCTACTATTGTGCTAATTGAGTAACCAAGAGTTTAAAAGGTTTTCACACAACGAAGAGACGTATGAACATTTGTAGAATTTTCGAATAAGCTCTTGTCATCCAAACTGTATCGAGAGTTAAGCTAATTCGTCGAATTGGGTTGACATCGTGGAATTTTGTCAATCTGATGAGAGGAGATTAGAATTGAAATTCCTTCGGGAGGCAAAGTTTTGCCATATGCCATGACCGCGCAAGTTTTCAAAAAAAGCGAAAAATCCGCGCTCGCCTACTAATACTCAAATAGTCGAGGCACATGCATTCGTTAGGGGCAACATACACGCTGCGCCCTAATCAAACAGCGAGCGACGATGGAATGAAATTTGTAACTAACTTTTCAATATCAATAAGCGAACAATCGAGACACACAAGCTCACGCAAATTTCTTGTCCACCCTAGCGGCACTCGGGTACTCGATATATCAGGTTTGCTCGCATACACACTGCCCGTCTTCCAGCGGCGTGCCAGCAGCTGGTGCTCAAAGGAACGAAAGAGAAACTCCTTGAGAAAACGAGACAGACGTACGTCTGTGAAAGGGTATGGAAGACGCGATACTGGTAGGAGCGGCTCGAACCGGCGCCATATTGGTGCTTGAGGAATTGAACGAAGCGTTGCTCGTGTACCGGCAAAGTCTGAAGAACCAGCGAGCGAGAGAAGACGACCGCTTTACGTTTGGGAGGTAAGTATACTAAGGCCGAAGTAAGTATATTAAGGCTGCCCGAGGACCTGGAGCCGAGGACGCGATGACGAGATGGTCGCAAGTCGATGGGTTTTTGGTTATCCTCGGGGTTGTTTGGTCAGCTGCACTTGATTGGAACGATGTGAACCAGTGCGTGCACATGAACTCGAATGTCCATCATCGAGGCGGCAGTATGATATGCTGAGTCGATGAGAGTTGAGATTTTGTCCTTTGAGGCTGTAGGTGAATACGCGATTAAAATCGAATGAAAGATTATCGATTATTTCGATGGGTGCACTCGTTACACTTTTGCGCTCATTGAACGATAAAATATTTAAGATATCGACAAGCTGATTACTTTTCGTTACTCAAACCCTTCTCGAGCTGTCGCAATGCACAACTTTATATTTAGCTGAAATGGAGTTCGGATTAAGGTAGGGGTAATTGCTAACTAGCAATTTTTAAATTTAATTTGCTTGTAATTTAAAATAAAATCCAATATTAAAACATTAGTTACGATATTAAAACTTCGTTAGTTTAAAATCATTTATTGAGGCTCGATTTAATGAGACGAAAATTAGATGTAAATTAATGCATTTGTACTTAAATGTTTAAAATTGTAAATTTAATTTCATCCAATTATAATATGAAATGTCCCTTTTCAGATTACCCAGCGTTCTAATTTCAGAGCTACTATACTCGAAATTTTTAAACAAGCCCATACTTATCAAGTTGAATTTTTGGAATGAGATAAATGATTAAACGATTCCATTAATAATACGCTTTAATTTTTATTTCTATGAATGAAATAAAAAATTTTTGTAGGCAAGGCAGTGAAGATATTTTCGAAAATGCTAATAACGAAGTCATTTTTGAACACTTACATCTCGAGAGGTTAGTTACTAAATTAAATATGAATATACATACATATATATATATATATATATATATATATATATATATTTTTATTTTATTTTATAAGAAATAGCACACAAAATTATTTTTTTAACATCATTAACCGAAATTGTACATTTCATGAAATTTATTTTAACGCGAGAGAAAAATGGCATAATTTATTAAAAGACCAAGAGGATAGACAAAGCTTCCTAATATATACCGACAGTTTGTGATTAATTAAAATATTTATTTCTTATTAAAAGAAAAAGAAAATATCCCAGAAAATATTTAATTAATATTTAATCTTTCTCCTATTACTTAAGAAATTATTTATAAATTTTATGAGCAAACTTTATCAATTTATTGCCATTCAAAGAAATACATTTAGATCTTTTATTGTAACCTTATATATGAAATGATATAAATTTTCATAATAAAACGACATCGAATAATCAAAGAAAATATAAAATCAATAATTAATTTGCATTCAAATGAATAAAAAAATTTAGTTGAATGTGATTGTTTTCATTTAAATTTATTCTTTTGCAAATTAATATTCTTTGGTTTAACTTTATTAACTATTAACATAATAGTTATTTATGTTTTAGTATTAATTTGTACTGCTTTCTTACTAATACCATTATCAAATTAGAAACAACTTTCCCCTCGTCCTTTCCTTTTTAATTCTAATTATTAATGCGTGCAATGTATGCAATTAATGCGTACCTACAGACGATAATAAAATCAAAAGGATACGCGGTATTCTATTAATTGTACTCTAAACTGTTTAAAAAAAAAAAAAAAAAAAAAAACAACAACAACAACAACAACAACAACAACAAAAGAATGATATCTAATATTAATCAGGTGAAAGCTTTCCTCTATTTTACAATTTTGGCACCGAATAGTCATTATCATTTTGTAAAGCAAACTATCAAATATTTTAAATGAATATATTATAATTAAAATATTAAAATATAATCATATTATATTTATTAATCAATTATACCCATAGAGTCAGTACTTTTTAATTATTATAAATGCATTATTTAAAACGTCGTAAAAATAAATTGACAAATTCCATATAACACATTTTTTTATAAACATATTCTATATAGTGATTGCAAATTGAATTTTTTAATTGGAGCAGCATTTGTAAGATTATAGTCGTACAACTATAATATACTATCTACAGGTTGTGTATTATCTATTAAACGAATTAAAATTAATGAATGAATTACGGACTACAAAAACCAGAACCAAGATATTATTTATCTTAAACAATACCGGCCAATATACATTAATAATATGCTGTTATCTCCAACATAAATATCGATTATCCATTGAAATTTTGTCGCTTATTAATATACGTTCTTCTCCTCTCTCGATCGTTGTATCGCTAAGAATATGGTTTCGATTTCTTAAAATTATCATGCAATTCAATCAGTTTTAGCACTATCCTACACTATCTCACATTTGTATAAAACCAAATAATGTTAATTGATTTTTTATAGAAAATCTTACAATGTAATCTCCAAAAAAAAAAAAAAAAAAAAAAACACATAGGAATTGGTTATATTTGAAAATATTTGATCTATGACATTGATTAAGCAATACATTATTAATATTCAAAAATCTTTCTTAAATTCGAATGTCCGGTTCTTTCGTGTAATAAACTCTCAGCCATTGATATGCACATACAGATTCTTTAAAATATTACAAATGTTTTCAAAGCACTTGGTCATTCGTGAGAAATTGGAAAAATGTCACGAACGTGGACTCTAATAATTTTGCATGAACAATTGTGCACAGTGAAGGACTAGAAGAGGTGGTGCGCGAGACGATGCGTTCGCTCGAGATCGACGGTAATCTAGACTTCCTGATAAACAACATCGCGGAACAAAGAGCCGCACGTATCGAGGAGGATGCAATTCTCGGGGACGCGCGAGAGAAACAGGCGGCACTTGCACAACTGCGTCATAATATAGCCGGGGAACAGAAGAGGCGCAAGAATGAGGAGGAACGCCTAAAAACTGAACTGCTGAGACTTCGGGTAAGCGAAGAAAATAAGATAAGTAAAGGGAAGCGTAATCCGTGTCAAGCTTTATTCCTTTAGCAAATAAAGAGCTTAATATTTTCCGGTGAGATTATTTGGTGGTGAAGCGCAAGAGAATATTAACGGCAGTTTTACCGAAGACCTTTGACTATGAATATTTCACATTGAAATATTGATATTTCGTAGAAAATAATACAATCGGCAATACTATTGATGAGAATTGCGTTTGAAACTTAAAGAATTACTTTCATACTATTCTTCAAGATGCTCAAAATGACTAGTTTTAGACTATTACTACTAAAAAGTGTGTGTGTGTGTATATATATATATATTTATGTAAAATAATTATAAATGAAGCAATGATCATTTATACTTGAATTTACACAATTAGAATTGGAATCAAAAATGAATAATTAAAAAAATACAAATTATTTCATAGGATGGGAGATTATATAAAAACACGTATAATTAGGTAAATAATATATATTTATTGCACGTGATACTACATAAATATTGTAGACATTTTTTTAATAATTAGAATAAGTATTAAGCGCAACAGCAAGTTTGTAGTAATACGGGAAAAGTTTGGCGGAGTGGAACAGATGAAAGTCAGGCAAACCCTGCAATTAATCGGACCTCGCCTGATTGACGTAAACCACTGTAAATATTAAATATCTACAATGTAATAAAGTAAAAAATAAGTTACCAAGAACATAAAAGACTTTAAAGATTCACGTGATGTAGAAAAATATGCAAAACATAATGAACGACATACTATAATCCTACTGAAAAAATTTTCTTTTTGTCATTATTTATATTGCACCTATATATATTTATACGATAAAGTGGCTAACTTATACGAAGAAAAATATAATTATGATACTTTACGTTCTTTGCTTCTTACATTGTACATTCTTTTTAATTAATTGCATAGTGAAAAAAGATTGATTTATAATCAAATAAAAAAAAAATTAAAATTTTTCCAGTTTATAACATAAAACTAATTATACTATAATACACTTCTTATATATAATTGGATTATTAATACTATAAAATTTTTACAAATTTATTAACAAAAATTTTTATGTTTGATATTTATAAATATAACATTTTTATATTAAAATACTCTTTAAAGTACGCTAAAAAAATAAATAATATTTCTTATATTAAAACCATGTAAAAAAATATAGCAGGTATATATGCTTTAGATTTAAATGAAAAAATAAAGAAAAGAAAACAATATTTACAATAAATCAATATTCAAGTTATATTTACAACTTAAAATATACAATATCTCTTATACAACTATTTATTACGATATTTCAAATATAAAAGATTTTCCGAGGTCAAATGTAGAGTTTGCACATCAAGTAAACAGAACATTAAATAGAGCCACAAGTTCGTCACTTTAATCGAAACATTCGCAAACATTAAAATATGAAAATCAGTCTCCAACAAATAAGGTTTCAACCCATTAAAAAAAAAAAAATCCATGTAATTTAAGTTAAGATTATGAGTCATTTGACAAAGTCTAGTATCTAAAATAATTCAAATAATTTAAATAATAATTTAGATAATAATAGATAACTATTTTCTAATCTACTGTCAATTAAATTAACAAATTTTCATTTGTATTGTCGTTATAAAAAATTATAAATATACTTATATTGTTCGTATATATTAAAACTTTTATTTTTCATTTTATCGGCAAAATAAAGCATTTATTTCAGTTTACTTATTATTAAAAGTAGAATAAATTTCGCTATACATGATTGGTTATTGAAAAAATATATTTTGATATTTAAGTCATCAAAAAGTTAAACAATATTAATAAGATGGGACAATATTTAGTTAATCATCGATCATATTTACAATAAATCTTTCAAGTTTTATTAATTTCCATTGCCAAGCTTTTAACAAAGACGATAAAATATTATAAATTTGCTTATTAACAAAAACTTATAAAAATAATTATGTAAATAAAATGTTATAATATTAAATTATCGAATATCATATACACAATTACATCGATATAAATAAATAAATATATATATATATATATATATATATATATATATATATATGTAGAAAATTTTAATGATTTAACGCAAATTTATAATAGTTTTCTCGATATCGAAAATAAATATAATATAATATGAAACAAAACACTACATCAATATTAAGTATTAGTTTGCAAAAATCCATTTATTTATCTTAAGTAACATATATTTATGTTTTATGAATCTATTATATGTAATTTTTAATTATTTTCATTAATAATCTTTGAATTAAAAAAAAAAAAATATTGTAATAATAAATTTGAATCCGAGTTATAAGTGTGGTTTTACTTTTTTTTTTAATATTCTTAAATACTTATCGAAAAATATTAATTTTCAAAAATTGTACAAATAAAAGTATCAGTTGCATTTGTTGAAATATAAATTATATAATTTACTCATGCAATAAATATATTAAATAATAAATATTGTATAAAATAAATATTTCAATATTAAAGAAAATTTCTACAGAGACATATGTAAATAATACGCGATTACTTTCCTTATTATAATAAAATGTTAATAAAATAAAAACTATGTTAAAAATAAGATAAAAAGCTTGAAATGTCGTGTATTCAACTTTATTTATTATTTATTCAGTAGAACATTTAGAAAATCTGCAGTTCCTGCATTTATCATAGAATCTATATCATCGTCCGTGGGGATAACATTCTTTACAGCTTTAAGATATTCATTGATAGTACATAAATCCCCGTGATTCCATAATTTTAAAGTTGTAAATTCTTTTCCATTGTAAATAAGAATCTATAATCATAAAATAAAGTTATTAATTAAATTATTATATTAAAGAAAATAAATTTTGAGCGAAAGTTATGTAGTAACATAATATGAAATGAACAGTTCTTAAAGCGCATAAATATGTATATACCAAATTAAAAATATAAGTCATTCAAATATTGAAACACTTGGCTTTCTTATAAGACAATTCTGATATTTGAACATTAATCGATAAATATTACAAATTATATTTTAAATATAATAAGGTATAAGTGAATATGAATTTAAGACTCTTTTATCGATACGATAGTCTTTTATAAGCCACACACCCGTAAAATGTATATTGCATTAAATTGTTCATAGACTAAAAAACTATAAATAAAGTAGAAAATCAAACTGATATTACAATATCAATTAATAGATAGCGAAATATGCAGAAAATTATGTTTACGCGCAAATAACGTAATTTTATTTATAACGTGTAATTATATATTTATAATGTCTACATTCGTATGTTCCTTGGAATCATGTATAAAAATTTTTACGACATTGTACATATCTTTGTTATTATGATGTTTACATTTGTGTAAAATTTACGATAAAAAATTCCAAACACAATATCCAAAAAAGTGTAAAATAACTGAAATAAATATGTTATGCGTTATATTATTATATTATTTTGCTTTTTAATACGTTTGTATGTTATTTTTTATTTTTTATTTATTTTTTTTTTTTTTTAAGATTTAAGTATTATTTTAAAATAAGATGTTGTCGATAATTAATTTTTTATACAAATAAATTAATTATGATTTCAAGGAATATTTCGATCAAGTTCTCTTATAAATGAATAAGCTTAGGCACGTATGAAAATTGTTAAAAGTAAAAAATATTTTTCATAATATTATTTAAAAATTATATCTTACATTCATACAAATGTAATATAATAATAGTATATTAATGGCATATTTTTAATGTTTAAATTAAATGCCAAGCTTACGATTACTCTGCTATTATTCGTTATCCCTTACCCTAACATACAATTTGTTCTGAGTATCCCTTAATTTTTCTAGAATCACAGCACTTGAAAATTTTGGATACTCTGAATATTGAAGAGTATGAGCATTTATAAATGAAGCGAGAGTAAAATCATGACCAGAATATAAATACATTTTCTTCTTATTTGTCTTCTGATCATCAGCATCAAAATTTTCTAAAAATTCTTTTATTAGTATTCCTCCGCTTGATTTCTTCTCTTCTAATGTCATTGACATTATATCTAAATAATCTGAATAAACACCTTTTAAAACATCGTATATATTCTGCGAACACCAACGTGGAAGCGTTGCATTCTGTGCTTTCTACAATATATTACAAAATATATATATATATATATATATATATATATATATATACATGTGTATATCGTGTTTAACTTGAATTCCGTGTAAATTAATATATGCGTAAAAAGAATTGCCCTTTAACTTGATAAAACTAATAATTATTCATTATTTAATAGAGGATTTAATTAAAATTTCGCATAAAATGTTGGTATAAATAAAGTCAAAATAAAGAGATCGATATTAAATGAAACAGAGATATTGTTAATATCATCATATCACTGTAGGCAACTGGCCTAGTCTCTATCGGATCGTAATTTATCGAGAAAACGGTAGATAAAACGAAAAAAAAAAATAAACATAAAATTTAATATAAAATTTAAATATCTTCATCTGAACGATTTATATGAGAATAAAGCACGATTTCTTATAGAATTAAAATTTTATAAATTATACTTAACGTATATGTATGAAACATTAAATATTACTAATGCATTTATAAGAGAGATGGATTTCTTTTCTGTAATAATTCCACTTTCGAATAAAAGATTACTCAATTCTTGTATTTTTTTCAACTTTTCTTGGACAGTTGCTGAATTAAATGCTTCGGATAAATGCTGCTGATATCTACGGAGAAAGAAATTTTTAAAATTATTTACAATTTTTAATCGAATATCATGTGCTTTTGATGTAACGTAATGTTAGCCAGACTTTAGAAATCTTATAAATTATATGTAAATATAAAAAATATCTAATTTTTTTTTAATGACGGGATTGCTATTTCAAAATCTGCTATTTAAATATCTACATAGATATCCACATAGATGTCGTTTTAATTAACGTAAAATCATTGCATTGAATTTAATTTTTTTATTATCTGTTAAATTATTATGTATCAAACGTTTAGAATCAATGTACAGTGAGAACTATGCGCCTGCCTTAATAAATAATTTAACGTTCCATTAAATATGACGGCCAGTTCAACGTAAGATTATATATATATATATATATATATATATATATATAGTTAAAAAATAATACAATTCTAATCGATTATTTGAATTAATATTTGTTGTAATATTAAAATAAAATTTACGTTGTTGTAATATTCCACCGCTCGAGTATGATACCACGTCGACTAATGATAGCTTTTTTCTCCATCGGTCAAAATAAATTTACACTGAAGAAGAAAATAATTATATATAAGAATAATGGTAAATTCGCGTCCTTCCAAATGCATTGCTTATCAACATTTAAAACGTAGTTAAAAAAGAAAGAAAGAAAGAATAGAAAGGAAATGTCATAGTGCGAATAAAGATAGCAATTAATTGGTAATTTGGAATTTGCTTTAAGCTCGAAATAATCTGAAATCAGCCGATATAGCAGTAAGGTGAGAGGTAATAACAATAACAGTGCGAATGACATAGGAGTGACCTCTTGTTGAAAAATGGCACCAAAAGTATGTCCTCCATAATAGGCTTGTAGTCGTAGGGAATGGGCATCCAATTGAGTTCGGAGTTCCAGATCTGATGGCCGATAGGTGGGTAGAGACCCGCGAGGACGAGCTGCAGCGACATCTTCGTACGGTCGTAGTCGGAACTGCGAGCGTAAACGTCCTCGGGCCGGTATCCCGCGCCCAGGAAGCCGGCGTATCGATCCCTCAGGGCGCAGCCGAGGCCGTAAGCCTGCGACTTCCCGTACTACGGACCAAGAATGCTCGACGTCATTTCGTAAAGTACGTCGACGAGGTGTTCGCGTGCCGAGTACTACACCTTGTGGCTTCGGATGCGCGCACCCACGCATCTCGAGTCCGAGCTCTCGATGTGCTCTTTTACTTGAAGTTACGATAAGACAGACGTGGGTGCTACTTCATCAGGTTGCGCGATGGCACGAAAAAATGTTCTCGCGGTTGTTGTACAGTGAATTTATGTTGCCACGCAATTTAAGAGAGACCGATGATGAAATTTAAGCACAAAGCTTGAGTTTCTAAGATTATCTCTGATAATACTGCGCTAATTCTATTAATTTATTTGGAAAAACTTATAGGCAGTGTCAATTTATAATGCGATCGCAGTTTTAACAATTAATGATAAGGCAAGAGAGGACAGAGGACTTTGTGTATTACGTACTTTCATAAAAACTCTCATGTTTTGATATTAAACGTAACTTTTTACATTTATGAGAATTTACAAAAAAAAAACCGCATGAATAAATAGTTGAGATATTCACGAATCTCCTTGCATTTAACTGGCCGTTATGATATATTTGATAAAACTGTCTTAAGCATTCGATTAACATGTGCCGAAAGGTTCTAAATTCTCGAAAAGTCCTTATTAATCCGCGTAATTATTGCGCCCTTGGACAATCGTAGTAAATTACCTCTTTAAAAAAAATTCCCGCTATATTTATTTAAATTCTATGAATTTGGGGATATTACAACAAGAAATTTACATTTGTTAATTGTGCGTCGCCAACGGCTTCCTGAAATGACTGGTCAATGTGTTCAGCACTCATTCTTGTAGCTTCGGTTTTGGAACAAGATCTTGCTCCATGTCTGAAAAGCTAGGAGATTAAGAACATCGTTAAAACATAATTGCCATATCAATGACATTTAATTAATGAATTAATAAATTTAAAATAAGCGAAGAAAAAAAGAATCGATAAGGGATGGATCAAAAGAACGCCGATTATTTAAATTGGATTGTTATAATGCTTCTGAATGCTTGAAAATGCTTATTCATTCTTTATAAATCATAAATATTGCATGAGTTTGAGCTTATAAAAATATTGTGATTGCATTTCATAAAGAAAATACATTATGAAAAGAAAAGCGCGGTGAGTGCAAACTAAATATAACTATGAGAATACTATAACTCAAGTGTCAAATAAGATAAAAATATATGGACAAATAAGGAATATTGTAAACGATATATAAAAAATTATTACAATTTTTTTTCAATGATTTTTAATAACATAAGTTATTATAAAAAATCTATTAAAATTATTGGAAAAGAGGTTTATTCTTGCAGATTTTTACCCGATTTAACGTTTAACATGATAGAAGAGACGATTATTACAGGCTTGCAAAAGTTATTTTCCACTACCGAGAGCTCAACGGCTGCGCGAATAAATTGTAACGCCTCGCTCTATGTGGGACAACATTGCATATTTCCTCAATAAATGATTAAAGTAGAGCGCCAATAATTTTTCGGTAAAGCACTCCAATTATTGCACGCAATAACTTTGATTATTTACATATATAGAACAATCTTGATAATGGTATTACCGCTGAAGATAAAACCTGATAATAAGAATGTATGTTATGTATACCAATGCATCGACGATGTATAACGATACTTTTTCCTTTTGATCGTCGAAAGACAGAATGACAATAATAACGTTATATCGCACAATTTACTCGAAAGTGATTGATAATAACAAAACTATTTGACGTATTGACAATACCATTAATAACAAATCTTTTTATATCAATACTATAAATGAGTTTAAATGTAAAAAATACATTTAATACATTGTCATTATCTTTTATAAAACACTTTATTTCATAAGAGCGAAATTAAACGTTTTTAAAATGTAATGTCTCATAGATTACGCGCTGATTTTATATATAATAATTTAAAATTCAAAGGATGGATTATTTTGAAAAAGATTTTCGTTCTATTATTGTGGAAAAATAAAGTATCGTTGGAATATTTTGAATAAATATAATATAAATCAATTGCCAAAATTTTCGAAAACTAATTTCAATGCTCTACCTAATAAATTTCAATATTAATAACAATAAACTTTTTTTACTAATACTACTACTGTTTATATTACAAATATATGTTCGTTACAATTTTGCTACTTTCTTACTATTTAATGTTTCAAATGTACTCAGTTACGTGTTACAGGTCAGAAAGTTTCTCTTTTTTTTCTCCTCCATACTTTGAAACAAATATATATATATATATATATATATATATATATATATATATATTTATATTATGCAATGAAGTTTTATGCTACAAATATAAAAGACTTTCAGAGTACTTTTTTCATCTACGTAATGTCAAATCAAAAAGAAAATACGAATTTAAACATAATGTTTTGCAAATATTAAGTTTTTGAACTTTCTTTAGAAATATTACGAAATAAATTACTTACGCTTACTATTTAGAATAAATTATCAATAAATTTCTGCATAATTAATAACTTAATTGTTAAATCTAGAAGTAATTGTTTCATAGAAAATTTACTTTAAAGCAATTGAATATGTTATTTTTAGAAAGATTTTTGTATAAATAGAAATATCTAAAATTAGAAATATCATTTCTATGCTAAAACCTTGAGAATCATACTCAATAATTATCTCATACTTTGAAAAAGTTAACAGACTATTTTCGGAATACTTATTACAAATAATATAATTTTATTTAGAGAATCTTAATGACATTCAATTGATATGTTCAATAAAGCATTACGAGTCGATAAATAATCGAGAAAAAGACCATAATTATTATAAAAAGAGCGGAAAAAATTGTAAATAATAAAGAACAATTAATTTTCAATACTCATGAAATACAGAATAAAGTTTTTTGTCTTTTCCAACATCAATTTTAATATTCATTTTTAATGTTGAAAATAAAATTTTAAATATTCTAATTTACAATTATTCCTAATTTGTAGTATTAAAAAATACCTAATTTACTTCATAATAAAGAGTATACTAAAATTTGCTTAACAATTGTTATGAAATTTGATGAGCAAAATTAAAATATAATTTCTGTATGTAATTTATAAAAAAAATCTATAAAAAAAATGATAAAAATTACACAAAAGTGAGGTTATAAATTACAAAATTTTGAGTACAAAATACCTTACCTATCATCAATAACATTTTATTATGGAAAAACATATTTGAACAATTAAATAAATAGTTTTTTATTCACTGTAATGATAAATATTATTGACAATATTGTTATTAGTGACATTGCATTATTGACATTGTTGTTATTGATATTTATAATAGTTTTAATTTAAAAAAAAAAAAAATCAATAAAATAAAATTATTAACTAATAAACAAATTACATTTTTTTCACACTTGAATTCGTTTAATCAATTGAGGATTCAGAAAAGTTTAGAAGATTATAGACTAACGTAATATTTTGATATTGATCTTACAATTATCAAATTATAAAAATTTAAAGACTATTGTTAACTCTTATAATATCAACATCTGTAGACAACGTATGAAAAAATTTTTTTATTAGAACATCGTGCCAATTGTTAAAATATCCCTCATTCGTTATAACATTTCCACTTTATCTTAATTCATTGCAGAGATTTTTTGAAATAAATATATATTATATGGAAATATATTTATTTTTATGCACTAGTACCCTATATCAGTTTTTCAACATAAAAATAAAAATAAAAGAGTCATAATTATAAGGTTTTAATACATTGTTACAATTATTAATTAGTAACAAGAATTTTAACAAATACATTTCAGTTGCTATGTTTTACTCACATTGCCTTATGTAAATTAGCATTTACATATTCTAGTTCATAGTCAGTTGAACAATTTTCTTAATCACTCCACTTGTACACTCATTAAAAAATAAGGTTTTACAACCAATAAATTATTTTATTATACTTACCACCTGAATGAGTTCTAAATTAAAACCATTTGGAACTGCCATCGTACCTATTAAATATAAATAAAACTTGAATAATATCCTTTGAATCCCGATGTATTAACAAAGAAAAATTTTTATTAATGTTCTCTCGTTTTAACTAATAAAAACTTTAGTGTCCGTTGAATCAAAGTCAGCGTTTAAAACAATAACACTAATGTATTTTGTAATAATGACAATGATATATCATTAAAAATATTATATCGACTGCACAATGGTCAACTTAATTAAGCTTATGATTTTATTAATACATTTTTTTTTATTATAACTAAGTCATAAATACTTACCAATAAGAAATAAAATTCTTATCCTTACTAAATCAATTTATTGTAACTCGCAAATTATTGCAGCAAAATTGTTGAAGCTCTTAGAACTCAAAATAATCTTTATTTCAATTTGATAACACGTTCAAGCACTTGGACGGTATGACGATAAATGCATCTAAAGCGTTACAGTTGATAAACTAATAATGTCTAATCTACTTATAATAGAATTATTTTGTAAATTTCCACGCTACATTATTTTTTCACGAGACTTTAAATTTACAAGCTTTATGTATGCAGTACTATCTTTTAAACGTAAAAATACATAAATTCAATACAGCGATAAATAATACACACACGCGCACGCACGCCTATATACATATATATATATATATATATATATATATATATATATATATATATATATATCATCTATTAATGATACATAAAAATTAAAGTCTTTTCTTCAATAATACATTACTTGCTTTATGCATGAATTCATTACTTTTTAGCTTATCTATGTATTTTCAAAGCTAATCATCACAAAAGTAACGCAAAAAGAACATTTATTTAATTTTTTTTTCAACTCTGTTTTTTTCTAAGTAGTTTTATCACACACTATATATATATATATATATATATATATATATATATGCATAAATGTGTGTGTGTGTGTGTGTGTGTGTGTGTCTTCTTAAAAAAAAAAAAAATTCAATGTTCACCCATCTCTTGATTAATGTATATTAATTATATATGCATCGATGCATGTAATATGTGTCATTTTAGAAAATTTCGATTTTTCATATTTAATCATGTAGATTATCAATTTATAAAAATGTGTATATTTATTTTTATATTTATTTTCATTAATTTTCTTTATATAAAATATAATTCAAAATTATATATGACAATAGTAATGTAATGTAACTTTTATTTATATTTATTTTTCATCTTTTTTTCTTCTGCTCGAGCAATATTCTTTACGACCAGTTCATATCGAGAAAGATATTTATTTCCAGTTTTATATGTATTCAGCATCAAAGACCAGATTTATTCTTCGCTCCTCTCATTCCTCTTTTCTTCGATCTCTGTCGCTACCTCAATATCACTCTTCTTTTACGTATCAATAGATTATTTGCTTCTATCAGTGTTTACTTTTTATGTAACTTACTTCATCCTTCTCGACCATTAAATTGCGCTCTTCAATTCTTTATCTTTTATAAATAGGTACATTTGGTAGTAGCTCATCCTCTGCTAGACTTTTGACACGTTAATGCCCTCCAATAAATATAGATGATCAGGCATCAGAAAAAAAAAACAACGAATATTTTACAAATAATTTTGGAGAAAGGCGAAAGTATTAAAGTCTGCTTTCCATATATTGTCGTATTTTCATAAAAGTATAGAATAATTGATTTTAATACGAATGACGCTAGAAATTTTTCACGATCTAACATTTTATTTGAAAGACAAAAAAATTGTTTAACAACATTGAAAATTGGATTTTCATTATATAATAATTATTTTCTAAAATGTAATATCTGTCATGAAATGCATCCATAACGAACTGAAATTAATTTATCACAATATATAGTTTGATTAATCCAAATTTAACTGATGGAATATATTTAGAGCTAATTCATCACTAACTATACTTGTTGAAAAACTTATTGTTTCCGTAAAAAGAAAAAAAAAAGAATGTAAATAATTAATGTCATAAATTAAGTGGACAATTAAATCAATAATAAATGAGATAAAGAGATAAATAATATTTACAGAAATTTAAATTTAATATTTCTTTTATGACTGCGAAACCACTAATATTTAAAGCTTTAAATAATCTTAAGGAGATAGTAATTAGATAAAAATATAATGATAATAACTTAGAATAGGGCAGATATAGACAATAATGCCTAAGAGTCGACCAAAAGTCAAAAGTCAAGAAAGTTGCGCACTGAAAGAATAAATTAAACTTATTAACTAATTAACGATCCAACTTACACAAATGAGCCTCCGATTGTTAACAAAATTCCGTCAAATGCCTCAATTCTGAAATCCGTATCTCAATTATGAAATCATAGTCCTGTCATACCTCGCATTTGTCACAGAATGAAAAAGAGGGGCTGCGGCTGAAATCGGATATGGAGCTGGAGTACGTCGACGCCTGGTTGAGCTCGCGTCGTGAGCAAGACGACCTACGGATGATGGAATCGTGCGATTTATTGGAAGCCAAACTGTCGGACTGCCGGAAGCGGGAAACCGGCGAGCTACTCGTCAGCAAGAACATCAGGGCGTTCCTGAAACTTACCACCGAGGTGAGCACGTGGTCCAATAGCACGAGGTAGTGGCTATTGGTTGTTAGGAAAGTCTAAGACGTTTATTTGAAGGGCTGTCAGGTAAGAGTATTGTTCTGACCAATTTGCTACTTTTGAAAAGTTGTTTAACAAACAATTTTAATTTATATATTATAATTTTAATGTTATATATAAAGAGACTTTAACGTAATTCGGTAATTGTCAACACTAGAAATAATAAAGAATATGTTAAATGTATAATATATATTCTGACTGATTCTACTGTTAAAAGCATTAACGACTGAATCTGTATTCTTAAATATAAAATTTGTAAGAGAACAGAAAATTTTGCTCAAATATTCGATTCATCTACAGTTGGAAGTTTCGTTTTTTTATAAAGATTTTTTTGACATGACTATATATGTCTATCTTTACAGTAGAAATCATATTTTCGGTAATAAAATACCATTTATAATAATGCTTGGTAACAATTTTTCGCTGTAAGCCAAGTTTCCCAAAAATCAATTAAAAATATAAAAAAAATAATAATAAAACAACATTGAGGATTCTACGGTATCGTACTTGAGATTATCAGAAATTTGAATTTTCATTTATCAGGAGATAGCATCTAATCGTATATTATTCAACGACAAGACGAATTCAAAATACTTGAGATAAATGGAAAAAAGAATAATAAAGTTTGTACTTAACATGTACATTTTATTCGACCTTTCCAACGGGCGTTATACTTCTAAATACATACATTCTTTAAAAAAAAAAAAAAAAAAAAAAAAAAAAACATCTCTATCTAAGTACGATGAATGTTAAGCGCAATTTTAATAAGAGTAAAAAAATTATAAAAATAAAAAAAAAGTAAATTTCAAAGTATATATAGAATACATAACGGAACTCGGTAAAAAAAAAAAAAAAGAATAAAAAAAGACAAGTCATGGCACACTGTATAGAACAATGTAACTGACAAACGATATTCCTTAAAATATATATAAATATACTTACAAAATCTTAACGTTAAAGAATAAATTACGAATATCATTCGAATATCGTATCATCAATATTGCTCTACAAGTATAAATTTCCAATACTCGGACACATCGCGCTTTCTATTATTCATACCAATAACATATCCATAAAACATCAATGCCAAGGTTAAATTTAAGGCGAATTCAATCATATCTCCTATAATGTTATATGTTATTAAATGACGAATAAGGGGAGAAGAGATTTTTATGAAAATTATTTTCAAACACTTTATTTCAAATAAAGATCACAATAAGATAGCAAAAGATATTGTAATTAGATAAATTTTACAAACAATAAAATTAACGTATTTAAGAAGTTAACACATTCGTAAAATACATTGTCTAATTTTAAATAAGAAAATGAAAATTAAATTAATCGCCCGAAGATATTGAGATAGCGAGGTTAGAAATATGGTATCTCTCTCCGATCAAATGAAATCGTTACAGAATTGGCAATTCTTTGGGTTTATTATAACTTATAACTATGAGGCACCAATAATTATTAAATAATTTTACATTAATATCGTTGATCGATTTCAAATTAGTCCAATGACAGTGCCATATAGTTTAACTACTTTAATGACATTATCGATCATTAATCCCAGCTCCTAAAGAAATTTTACATATTATTACATATTAGATAGATGTATTTTTTATATTAAAAGGCTGTATGTGTCTAATATTCAATAAGACATACCATACGTCGAATTAAGTATGTAAATTGATTATTTACGAATGTCATTACGTCTAAATGATATTGCACTGTCATTGTTATCGATAGTAAACGAAATATTCCAAATCATTGGTGTATAGGAAAGCCTTGAGACGAGACATCTTCGACTATGTAATATGTTTATATGATGCTGGCATGGGTCTATGATAAAACAAAGCCAATAGTCATTATCGCATGTCAAGATTATTTGTAATAGATACGATGGAGTGTAGAATCATCGCTTCGATTCAACTTTAATGCACAACTTAATACTTGGAGAAGAAGCAAATTACGATGACGTGCAAAAAATCTCAAAAAATCTTAAACTACGAATAGATGCATTTAACTAATGAAATAAATTTGTAAAGGGTAATGCAGTGACGCCGTCAATCGCATATGACGAAAGAGCATGTAAACATGATAAAAGATTTTCAAATTTTTCATTATCATATTATAATTAATTAGCTGTAAGGTATTTATCGTATCGCGTGCTATATTAACGAATCGTTAATAATACGTTAATAAAGATATACGAACCGCCTCCGGTTAATTAATTTTTCGTTTGACAAATAATTATAATAATAATAATAATAATAATAATAATAATAATAATAATAATAATAATAATAATAATTTACATGCAAATCGATTAGTATACGATCGTTATGTGCACAGAAAATACATCTCTTTACGAGCGAAGTAATTTCAGTTGGTGTCAAAAATTTCAGCATTGGTGATGTACGACCGGAGAGGTGTATACGTGAAATTTTAACTCTCCCCTAAAAGAACAAATACTGACTCCACGATAGAGATGCACAATGTATTGCGACGATATATACATTTAAAAGCGAAAAGTAATAAACGCTTAATTCATCGATAATTCTTACTCGAGTGGCAAATAATATCTATATAACAAACAGAAATAAGAATAATGAAACGACTACTTCGCTACAAACACGAGACGGTTAAAAAGATCGATTCGTTTATAGCTTGATTGATAAGTAGTGCCTTTGATAAGACTTTTTTGTATAATCGGCAAGCTCACGTGTGTTGCGCCTCCGGTAACGATTTTCTGTTTATCGATTTTAACAAGTTGTTTGCAACATGAATAAATTGCATTTATGCACGAGCGTGCATAACTTAGGCCTAAAGTTCTGTTTCACTGCGCGTAATCACAAATGCGATCACGTGTGCATGCGATGAGAAGGAGCAAGCAGAGGGCGGAGATGTACTGAAGTTAGTGTAGTTGGAGGAGGAGGAGGAGGCAAATTCCTGAAAAGTAGCTGACTCGAGACCGGTTTCCCTTCCTCGCAAGCTCCATTCGAGCGTCCGATTAAGCTCGGCGGGGCCGATACTTTACTCTTCGGCCATAAACTTCCCTTTCCCTTTTAAAGCATTTTGCAAATCAATACGATTTCAGCTTCTCGCCTTTCATCAACTGTTTCCCTTCGCCCAAGACGCCCCCATCTACATTCAACCACCTCCCCATCCTAATGTAATGAATCTACCTGGACCGATATTCTTCAAAATGTGCAGCTATCGATCGGATAGAAAACTGATATTTAATAGCGTAACCGGGCCTTCTATGAAACCCATACTCCAACGTTTAATTAAATTTGGCCGAAGTGTAAAAAAGATTACGATTCCATTGAAATTCTCATACTTTTATTCTTATATTATTATTATAATAAACAACTTTTATAAATAGAATCAAATTACATTTAATATAAAAGATAAATTGAGCTGTATTTTAAAGGGCATTTTGCGTACAAAAATTCATGAAAACAATTTAAAAAAAAAAAAACACACGCACACGCACACACACACACACACACACACACACACACAAACATGAAAAGAAAGAAAAACGTTGAATTGTTAATGAAGGGGGAAGGGAGATCTGATACTTTTACGCTATTTTGAATGTTGGCAGAAATACGTTAAGGATTCGTACGTATGGATGGAGCGCCAACAAACGGAAATGAAGTCTTACGATGAGGAAATTCGCCGACTACAGGAGGAGATCGGGAAAAAGCGCGCTACGCTCGAGGAGCTTTATAAAGAGGTAATTATAAAGAGAAATTATCCCAATGACATTCTAATCATTTAACTGAGAAACATAATTGACATCATTGCGATATCTAGTATTTTATGTTGGGACTACGAGTTGCTTGTAAGAGGTGAGGGAACGATAGTCTGGATAAAAGATACAATTGGCGTTGTCGTTGTTAATTATTATGCCATGTCTCAATTACAATTAGTCAACTTAATCTCATTCTGTTACTACTTTATTTCGCGAATTATTATGTGCAATACTCTATGTAACGTGATATTATGTACAGCCATTAAATATGGATATAAGGTTTCGATGGAACAATTTTATGCGACAAAATGCATAATACAATCGAATGTATAAAAAATACAAAAATAATTGAAATTAAATTATTTTATCAAGAAAATTCCGGCGAATTTCCCGAGGAAGCTGAATCCTCCCTTAGCGTGCAAGGTAATCCCTTTGTGTCCAGACTATTCTATTGTTGGTCAAAAGACCCATCCACCCTGAAAGAGCCTAAGCTTACCTTTAAGTGTCACCTGCTGTTCTCAGCCATTAATAATATTAAATCACTTTTATTAGCATTATTAAAAACTTTAATGCCCAAACTTTTGTTCCTTGCCTTATTTTTTGAATTCTGCCTAACTTTAATTGACTGTCTCACTGGGCTCGCCATAAATTTTAATATAAGCTGTTTGAACTTGAGCGGAAGTATGCTCGCGAATAAAAAAAAATTTGACAAAGCGGCGCAGCAAAAAGTAAAATGATTTGATTTTAAATGGAAAAATTCCCGTATCTTCGGCACGGAAAAAATTTCTTTTACGAATAAATACTGCCAATCGCAATTTGCGCTACGAAATTTTATCACTTGAAACTATCATCACGTGCAGAAAAAGAAAAAAAGAAAGAAAGAAAAAAAAAAAATACCCACGACATTTTTATATAATCGTTACGTTCTTACCTTCCTTACCAGATTCAATGCAATGAGGTAATTTCACAGATCTTGTTTATAATATAACCCTGTTAAAGTTATAATTATGCTAATCGCTCGGGAATATCGTAAAATTCAACGATAATTTTCTTTATTTCATGTTTGCATAAAGCAACAAATATAAACCTTTCTAGTTTATAAATGAGAACAACCGTCCTGGAAAAAATATGAATTTAATCATTTTCCATGGCAGATGCTCAAGTGTATTTATAATTATTAAATTACCAAATTAATTAATGATATTCTTAATTAATAATAAAAGTGCTAATTATGAACAAAGTTATCGGAATAAATTATGTATAAAATTAATTTTCACTTCAATCGCGCTTTAACGGTAAATTATTGTATTTTTATTTTTTACATCCTAAATTATTGCAATGGGCGCCCGTTTAATTTATAAAAAAAAAAAAAAAAAAGTCTAAATAATCTAATGTAAATGTGAAATCATAATTAATAATTGAATTTTGTAATTCGATGCAAAGCTATCGTGTGTACGAGAAAGATCGGCGCTTTAATTAATTAATATATTAAAGATATGTTTTAATAATTTCAATTGTAATCGCAAAAAAAAAAAAAAATAGCAGATACGCTCCTTAAGTATTTATACTTTGTGCGCTATCGATGGTTACAAAATTCTTGGATATCAAGAATTGAATTGATAATTAAGGAGGCACCGAAACTATCAACGACTGAATTATCAGTTTATAAAATAAAAAAAAAAAAAAAAAAGAAGAAAAGAAAAGTAAATATTTGTTGGATGCGTTCAATGTCTTTCATTTTTCATGTAAATTCATTAACAAGATGCGATATTTCAAAGCCAATGCACAATCGTTTATTTATAGGAATAAGCAGCAATTAAATCGGCACTATAAATTGAAAATAGCACCGATAAAAAAAATTCCCAGAAGGACGAATCTAAAAATAATAAGATCCCCCCCCCCCTCGACATACAATCGGAGCGCGTTCGAGTGCCATTCGAACGCAACTAATAACTGAAATTTAAATAAAAATAAATTACAGAGGTGTATTGGCACGATGGGGAAATTAGCTGTCAGCGAGCAATGGTCGAGCAGAAACCCGAACAACGTTAAATCAATTACTATTAGTAAATTAATGCTGGTGGCTTCCGGCATAGGCCATTGCAAAACCGACGTTCATGCAGCCTCGACGAGAGGGCCCGCTTCTGCGGACTCTTTTCGGAGTCTTTTCGCATACCTGATTCTCTGTCTCCTGCTCTGTACTCTCTGCTCCGTGTGCCATGTATTGTGTATGGCATGTGGCGAGTAGATGGAAAGGGGACGGGGGATGGTGTACGCGTGAGCGCGCGCAGGCATAGAAGCCGACGTCGGCATTGGAAATTGGACTTGAAAATCGATATCTGCGCTCTCTCATTCCGGAAAACCGCGCCAACTCCTTTACATCCGGATATACCGAGCCTCCCTCGCTCTCGCCCGTGGCCGCTCATGAAAATTCATAGAGTCCACAGGGCGCACGTAGAGTGGAGGAGCACCTAGGTTGCGTTTATTATTCGGGCAACTTTGGCCTCCCGAGAATGGAGCTATGATCGAGGCGTATCGCCATCTCGGCCCTTTACCCTCTCATCTCTCATCTCTCTCATCTCTCTCTCTCATCTCTCTCTCATCTCTCATCTCTCTCTCTC